TAGGCAACTTCTCCAGTCACCTGGAGCAATCCACTGAAAATCATGGAGGGGGTGATGGAACAAAATGACTCACTTTTGGGCTTTGACTAGTCTAGAAGAGATGTCATTATTCAAACATGACCAGCACTTCTGTCTAGCAGACTAAGCCTGCAGCACTGGAGTCAGAAGGGTTGGGTTGCTCTCCTAGTTCTGGTGCTGGCTTACTGCTGGATTCTGGACCAGTCCTTCTCCATTTGGAAAGAAAAAGAAAAAGGAAAATAATAGCATGGGTATGGAGAGCTTGGAAATCATACATAGAGGAGCTGAGTGTAACTGCTACACAGCAGTGTCTATGGAACCATTGTGGAATGTTTGCATGGGCCCAAGGCCATGCGCGTGGGCATGGACATAAGTTGGCTGCCAGGGAAGGAACTTGTTTGTTGCCTTAAATTGGGCCTGAGCTCTTGTCCACGTGAGTCTGCACAAATGGGAATTGTAGATGATGCCTTAGGCTACGGTCCATCCCATCAAGAGTTATTCCAAGTTTAGCCCGTCCTAAACCCAAGCACGGACATTTTAAGCCTGAGCAGCAGCCAACAGTGTGATGAAGCTGTAAGCTATAGGGTACTTCATTCTGTTCTCAAACCACTCTTCACCCTGTGATGTATGCCTAACCTCCATAGAGATTGCTGTCTCCGAACATCTGCAGGAGACTCCCCATCACCGATGGGATGAGGAAATTGCAAGACACAAGGGGGGGGTGTGTGTGGTAGGGGATCGGCAATGCAACCCTGCTGCAACTGGCATGTCCTTCAGGTCAGCATGTAGAATATGGCTGCAATGTGCATTGCAGACCCACCAGCTGGACTGTCAGTGGTCATTCTCAGAAGGATCAGTGCATGGCATTAGTTGCACGGCTCCACCGTGGGGCTGCTGGCCGCAGAAACAGCCGTCCTTAGGCAGGGTCATCCAACTGGCTGTTCAGCAGAGCCAGCTCTTGGAGAAGATGTTTCCTCGGAGCACAGCCCTGACTGGGGAAGTTTATCTGATTTTGCTCACTCTGGATAAACACTGAACCTGGGTTTCAGGTTGGAGGACTTGTTTCCCATGGAATTTGTTCTGTCTTGTGCTTTCCTACAGGAATGACACTGCAAAAGGTACCTCTTTCTCCTTTCTCTTAAACGCCTTTCCAGATTTACACCCTCCCAGCCCTACAGGCAGGCTGCCTACTCATATTTAAAGGCACAGTGCACAGAAACCAGAATTACAGCTGTGCAGCCCACGCACTCATGTCTGCAGGACAAACATGTGCATCAGTCGAGTACAGGAGGCAATGAACAACTTTTTTCCTTCCTTTTTTTTTTCAGGTGCTATATGATGAAATGGAGATATGTAAGAACCACAGGAAGCATTTATTTTAAGTACAGGCTAATGCCATGAATGTTATTTGCATTACATGACAGCCCAGTGAACCACAATATGAATAAGGAAAGGAAAAACTAGTGTTTTCCTGACCAGTAAATCTCTCTGTTGCTTTCTCAGGTTTCCTATCAATGCCAATTTGCATTTCCTTGCAGACCATTTGGGATGTCAATAGGTAACAGGCAGTATCAGTGAGGGTTCAGAATTGCAGGAGGGCTTGTGAGTAGATACTGACATATTTCTGGGGGACAGGAGGTGGGTGGATGCAGGAGCTGAGAAAGGAGGTGTTGGTCTGGCTGAGATATATTTCCCTTGATATATAGCTGGTAATTTAAGCCCATCAAAGTGAAATCAGTTTTGATAGCCTGAAAACAATGCTCTCTTTGTTCAGCTGCAAAGGAAAGACAAGCAGGCAGGCAAAAGCAAAATATTCTAGCACAAATATCCTGCTGGTTATCAGGCAGATAGAGAGAATCAAGCAGAGGATAACCTCTGTTTCAAATGGTCAGTGTCCTGGCAAATATCAGCAGGAGTAACTGGAGTTCATCAGCCTGTACTTACAATCGGATACAAAGCACTCTATCCAGACAGGGAGTGTTACCTTACATTAAACTCTTAACCACCTGAGCACCTCAAGTCAAGTGTGGTTCAGTGTCCTGCTGAGCAGCTGCTCCGTCCAGCTGAGAGTAGGCTGCTTTTCAGCAGTGGGTAAAATCCCTTCTATATAATGTCATGTTGGTGTCCTGCCAGGAGATAACCATCCCTCCTTTTGCTCAGTGAGTCACAAACCCTCTCACAGCATCTACAGCTGGGAGGCTCACTTGCTCTTGCTTCTCATCTGGAAGTTGCTGCCTCCCAGCTGTGGTCCAGGAGTGTCACCAGCTGATTTGGTCATAAAGTTCTGCTCTCACTCCCTAGGATTTCCATGAAGGGTTGCCTGATTGTCTGCTCACACTTCGCTACAGCTTCACTCAGGCAATACCTTCAGAGGGGATGCAGAGATCCTAAGAGCCTGGTGTCTCTGTAAGGAGCATGGAGAAAGTGAGCCAAGAGTGGCCATCAACTCTGCTAGCTAGTATATAGCAGATGGTGGTTTGGAAGGCCCAAAGGTACCTTCATGGTGGCATGTCAAAAGCTGGAAGGTGAGTTGGCTCTGTACAGGATAGGAACACAAGGAAATAAAAAGTGACCTCTCAAAAAAATGTAACACAAGCAACAATCACTTGTTCTCTGCCTACAAAGAAAAGACCACTCACAGAGAAACAAAAGTCATCATTTTCATTAACCAGAGGGCTAGCTTAGCCTCTACTGTTCAAATTGGCTGGCAATTTCTTCTGCACCCTAAGTTACAGAGAGGATATAACTTCTGGAGTAACTGGATTTTGACATCCCCACCCCATTGCTCACCCCCTTCCTCCAGGCAAGGATGACAGCAACAAGCACCACCCAACTCTTGTATTAGGGGTTATCCGATACAAGCAACGTCTGTGGCTGTGTGAACGTGGTTTCTCTGGTATGAGAGAAGAGGCCATTTAGATTCAAGCCAGAGTCAACATGACTCATTGGCTAATACATCCTTCACTGCAGGGCTCAGGAGGTCACTGTAGGTTCAAGTCTCACACTGGGACTTGGACTGGTGTTTCACGCTGTGGGGAAGGGAGGGGAGATGCAGAGCTCCTGGAGGTGCTTCCTATTGGAGGAGAGAGAGATTTTAATCTGAGATTCCTGCTGGCAGCTCTTCCAAAGGGGAATTAATTACACCAGGGCAAATTCATTCCTGGTGGGGGCTCCCTTAGCTTCAATGGGGCTGTCATGTGGCTGATTCTGTTGTTATTTTGGAGGAGGGCTATGTGCTATTTCTTTCTTTTTGTTGTTGTTGGTTTTGGGTTCTTTTTTATTTTTTGGTTTTTTTGGGTGACCTGGTCTTCTGGCTCTTGTCCCCTCTGGCAGTCAAACAGGTTCCAGCAGCCAAAGGTGTGTGTGTTTGTATGAGCCCTTGCAGAGTTGCTGTACGAGCTTCTGGCCTGGTTAAATCACTACTTGTTGCCTTGTAGACCTCTTTCTTTCACCTTTCTGCTAGGACTGGAGGAGGGGAGAAAGGGGTATGGGAATATAGAGTCCATCTGTCTCTCTCTCCATTTCTCAGCCATGCAAACCCCTGACAAAGAAGAAGTGATGGGGAGAGCCACATCTGTCCCCTCTTCCCTATCTAGCTCTTTGCTGCTTTTCCATCAGCACCCCTGATTTTAACACTGCTGTCTTTGCAGAGAAATGCATGAAGCTGCAACAGCCTGGGGAATTGCTCACCAACAGCTATAGGCTCAGCAGGGAACAAGGGCTGCGCAGGTAGACTCTTCCCTCCTGTCATTTCAAAGGTCTTGCTGGAGCTTGGTTAAATGGTCTTTTGCAGGGCAATGACAGCTGGGGAATATACAGAAAAGACAGAGTTCTTCCGAAGCCAGCTTCTGATGGCTTAAGCTCCTTTTTCTTGATGAAGCGAAGGGATTCATCCCTCTGGACTAGCTCAGTTGGAAGTGAAATGTAGTCAGCTCTGGGTGAAACCAAGGTTTTTGTACAAGGAAGAAAGGAAAGTCCTCATTTCTAAGCAAAAAGGGTGACAAATTTACAGGAAGGTGAATGTCAGTGTTGTCTGAGCACAGCTGGGATACCTCTGCTCTGGGAAAGGGGTCTCTGTGGAGTTCTTTAATTCCAAAAGGTTTGCAGCACCTGGTCTTAGGGCATCATCTAAAAATGGGAGAAAAGTGGAAGCTGTCAAAATCTCTCTTTGTAGAAATATGCTGAAGTATGAAACAGCCTTCCTCACAGACACAACATCTGGGTGTAGAGTAACCAGTAAAAAGTATCAAGCCCTCAGCTCCTGCTGTTTCTCCCTCAAAAGTGGCCCCTTTCATCTATGCCCTCTACATGATGCCAGTGATCTGCTTCCATGATCACTTTGAATTTTCTTCCTTACTCTTTTTCAAACAAACAGGAATTACCATTCACTCTGTCTGTTTGTCACCCACTAATAACCTTGAATCTGTCTGCTGATCAACATTGACAGAAGGTGAAAAGAAGTATTATGTTCTTACTATTATTGTGAAAATAGGCAACTAGGGTAGAGGGAAGAGAAACCCTCAGAAGGGAGAAGTTACAGCAGGGAAAACGCTATTTTTAAACGCCAGAAAATCCAGCCAAATAACATTATGCCCCAGAGTCCACCCTCAGTCAGTTCTGCTCTTCACAGGACTGATCATTTCTGAAGCAGCTGTACAGCAGATTCGACTGGTTGCTGTCTCATTTCCCATTCTCCTCTTAAAAATCACTGTTGCAGGACCATGGGAAGAGAAATAGCTCAAGAGATCAGTCCAAGTGACTACCACTTCGGGAGAGACCTTGGGCTAACCTGGCTGCCAGTTCATTTCAGAGGACAACGAAGTGGGTCGAAGTCATCAGCTCTGAGGTCATTTGAAGGGGGAGGAGTAAAGATGGGTCAAGTAATTTGTTTGCATTAAGTTTATCAGCACTCACAGATGATGCTGACCGGACATTCTTAAAGCCTCCCTCTAAATCATCAGAACTGAGGCTGGATGTGAAACCTGGTGATGTTACTGCAACAAGACCCACTGACAGGCTTTGGCCAGACCCTGCTGTCCTGTCTGATTCACCACAGAGTGCACAAAGGAGGATCTTCAGCAAGGTTTGCTCTGAAAGAGTTAATGCATTTTACAAGGAAAGCTGCCATCCCTCAAGGTCATTTTATCTCTTAGTTACATGAATTCTAGGAAAGCAAAGATTCCTTCCAAGTAAGTTGCTGGTTTATCCAAGTGATGCTGTTACAGAAATTGTTGTATAAGATCCAGGTTTTTCCAGGGTATAGCGAGTGTGTGTGGTGTTTAGATTTAGGCTGTGTGCTGCCAAGCTACTGACTCCCTTTTTTCTTCCTTTTTTCCTCCTCCCACCCTCTCTCCCCCAAATCACAAGCCTAAGAATAATTAATAAGAATAATAAATAAACAGATGAAAGTGGAAACATTCCCAAAACCTGTTATCACACAAGCAGTTTCAGTCCAGACCATGCTCGTTTCACATTGAGCCTTGGAATTGTCAATTCTCATTACTTCCCAGTGTTGAGTGCGGGAGGAGAGAATTTCGATCTCTGTTTTCCAGAATCAAACCCTCTGTTTAATGCGGTGGGGAAAGTTGAGATGAAATATAGGTCTCAGGGGACTTTCCCTGTGTGAAAGCTTATTACAGCTGTAACAAAACCTTCTAATCGGAACGGATTCTGTTACATGCATGATATTCAGGTCTTGGGCGAGGGGTGGGGGGGGAGGAGGAATGAGAAAAAGATGACAAAAAGCTTTAAAAGCAATTAAATGAGAACTGCATTCATTCCCCGCCGCCTCCTCCTCACTGCTTGCATTTGCTGTTTACGCAGAACGTTTTCTTTTCTGCATTTTGCCAGGGGTCTTGTGAGATCTGTAGGAGTTTTGCTGGGTCAGGTTGTTGAATGACATTGTGCAGCAAAGCAAAATTTACAAACTTGGATTCACCCACAGGAATGGAAAACTGTTTAGTGGTGTTTGAAATATAGAATCCATATTACCATAGCACGAGAGTCTAATGGGCTATCTAAATGCAATATTCAATTACAGTTGAAGACAGGGAACCACTTAAAATGTGTCGTGGTGTCCAAAGTTATAATAAAATCACAGACAGAATAAACCCAAAGGCACAGTCTGTGCCCAAATCAGCGTCTCTGGGTCTTTGCTGGTGATGTAAATGGCTTCACTAAAGCAACTGAGAAAAAAATTAGTGCCAGCCTCTAATGTAGACACGTACAACGTAGAGGTTGTTTTCCTGTGGTTTAGTTTCAATGGATTATATTTGCTATAAAAGACATCCAGAGAAAGTGTGAGGGAAGAAACAGAAAGGTATAAAAAGAGGAAGTACTTTGCTCAAGTTCATGGATTAATTCACTATTCTGTCCTATACCCACTGCATTGTACTAACTCAGTTTCTTGTTGCTTGTGATGGTCTAACAGGACATGTCCACCTGATTGATTCCTTTGGGCATCTTACCATGCTATGGGCACTCTGCAGAAGGGTGGTCCACAGATCAGAAATAATGTCTCTTCAGTTAAGAGACGATGGAAAGGGACTGAATCATGCAAGGGCTCATTTTTAGACTTGGAGAAAAGACCTGTGAGACAGACCTTTGGGATCTGTGTACCTCCCTGTCCATGATTTGCTGGATGAGGCTGGGCATACATTCACGTTCTAGTGGTGAAGTAACTAGAAGTCACAACCCAAGGTGCTGGCAGTTTTGAACACCATGGGTGCACTGGGAGAATAGGGCTAGGTTATGAACGTGCTTTTCAAATTCTGATTTTACTGTGCTCAATGAGCCATTTCAGCTGGTGACAAAGACCTCTGAGAGAAAGATGTTTCAGTATATGAGGAAGTGTTTTATTTCCACAAACCAATCAGTTTGTATTCTCGAGAGGATTTGTCAGGATGGGACAAAGGCTGCATAGAGTTGTCACTGTTAGCTGCCCTTTCAAAAAGAGCTGGCATTCAATTCTTGTGCCCAAACCTTAGCAAATAACAAAGACGCTATCAGGCTTAATACCCCTGGAGTAGGAGTCTTCACTCCTCTGCTACTTGACTTAATGTGATCTTCATCTGAACCTCCTGGATGATTCACCAGAGCTCTTCCAGGGCAACTCCACCTCCATACTCTGCTTTGTTTAGACATTTACTTGGGAAAAACACCACAGTATGCAACAGTAGTGATGTTAAGCCCTGCTGGACTGTAGATAGATGAAGAGCAATGAAAAGGTGATTCCTGCCTCTTACAATCTGAATTCCCATGTGATTCTACTCTTTTGTCTATTGTAAGCTCTTCTGGGTGAAGAACATCTCTGGTTTCACATAAATCTGTTGGTTAACATGAATTTGGGGAAAGACTAGGAAGCTCTCTCTCCCAGGGCTACTGTGACACTACTAAAATAAAAGCAGCAAGTGACCTAGTGTTCAGAAGCAATCCTGCAATGATGGTGATTGAGGGAAGAGATCCAAAATCATCTGATCCTCCCTGCTATTCATGTGGAACACTGTCTACGTGCTGGGACTTGAAGGAAGCAATCTCATTTTCTTCCCATGGATAGCTCTACCTTTTCTCTCCTCTCCTGCCCTCTCAGAAATACAGGGTAGGGGCAGTAAAATTATAAAGCTGCCTTTTAAAGATGCTCCGTGCTGCGAAATGAAACTCAGATAATGAACGTTTCCAGCCCAGCCAGAGGACTCTCTGAGGTATATTTTTATCTCTACGGTGCCAGAGATTAACTGTACATTTGTCTTAATGGTATCACCCTTTAGTGTTAATGGAAGCTATGTGTGTAAATCCCTGACCATCCAAATGAGAATACACTTTGAATGATCACAATAAATCAAAGTAAATGGAAGACCCCTGCAGGCCAAATTCATCCCCAGAGCAACTCCTGAGACTTTTAGGAAGCTTATGCCAAGCAGGCACAGCAAGAACAAACACAGCAGATCATGTCACCTGCTTTATGATTTCAAAGTAGTCATGATACTTCCAGTTGTAACAAAGTAATTTGCTCTTTAAAAATGGCTTGCAAAGGAAAAACATCGCTGGGTTCAGTCATTTTGGGATCTCTATAGAACTTGGAGAAACGGACTTGGTTGTTTCTTTTTATAACAAGGTTTATTTATTGACATGTTTGTAATTTATAAATGCATGTTCTTTCTGCTCTACTTTCCTGTCAAAAATTAAAAACTGGCAAGAGCATGGTAATGAAGGTAACAGAAAGTGATGCCTACTAGAGAAGGGAAAATACACCTATTTTCAGCTGCTTGAATGTCTTTGGACTGATGAAATTTTGCGAACATGTGTCTATTTTAAACAAAAACCCTATTAAATTCTCAGCAACAACTCCAATTCCCTTTTCCAAGAAATACAGGCAAGAGAGACATAAAAGAAAAAAGAGACATAGTGTTCCTGAGTTGTAAAGTAGAAACAAGTATCATACAGTATAATATATTACATAAAGTCTTTTGTGATTCATTTAGGCACTATGGAAGTAAAAGACAGACAAACCATTGTCCTTTTCTAATTTGCAGATTTTTTTTTTTTAGGTGAGGGACAGTGTAACTTAAAGGACACTGATGAAAACACGGATAAGTATAAGACAAGAAAGGAGTTTCTTCTTCCAAAAGAGTCTGCAACTATGCATATGTAGAAATGACCTAGAATTATATTTCAGACTTCATCAGCAACTCTGCATTTCTTGAAAAAGACAGGAATTCCTATTGCCCACAATACATGAGTAGAACTGTTTGAGCAGAAAAATGAGAACTGGGAAGTTAAACCTTTTGCTGGTTGCATTGTGAAATAGAGCAAAAAGTAGAAGGGAAGACAGGAATCATTGTTAGCTAAAAAGTGAAAACATCAGTACTTAGATTGTTTGATGGGAACACCGAAAATGTCCCCTTTTGAAAAAATTACTGTGAAATCCTTCATCAATCTGGCTGGTGCAATGATATCTCTCTCTTCCTATGTCATTTGGCTTTGAGGGTTTCTATCTTCTAGGTGACAAAGTCAAAGCTCATTGTCAGCTTTCGCCTGCTGTGCAAGATACATCCAGCTTGGTGGCAGCATCCTTAAATAATTCCACATTACAGCTTTGCAAGAAGAAAGAGAAAATGTCTCTTGTCATTGAGAAAAAGCTCTCAGTGTCTCCATCCAAGGTCACTTGGATCTCATAGATCAGAGGCTATTAGAGGATTAGGAAGTTACCTGCAAAGTAGCTGGTCTTCTCTGATCATTTTAATGAATCCAGTGTTTCTACACTGGGTAAGTCTCAGCTGGAAAAATGCATTAGGAAATGAGAAGTATGTGGAAGGCAACAAAGAAAAGTCAGAATATTTTCATTTGGCATAACCTGCCATACAGATTCTCTTTTCCTCTCTAGATATTGATTAGAGATTTGCAGGCTCATGAAGGTGAACCCCACCCTGACCTGTAACATTCACAAAAGTGCTTTCTTTCAAAACCTTTTATTTTGATGGATGGGAAGAGGGAATGGATGGAAGTAAATTTTCTAGTTTCAAATCTAGTTTTATGCTCAGCTGTCCTGCAATGTAACTCTAAAATTAATTACTGTGCTACTGACTGCTGTTCAGAAAGGCTGTGGCCATTTTCCATCCCTGGAGCTTTGCCGTTCTTGTTTCGTCAAAAGCTTCTATGAGCTTTGTGCCATTAAATCCCTCCTGTTTTGTGTAGAAACCTTTTATGCATTTCTGTATTGACCTAGGCAAACATGGGCCACCAAGCAGACCACGACTACCCAATGCCAAAAGGAATGTGAGGTTGCTATCAAGAGCATGAAGAAACTCTTTTGCACGTTCAAACTGTACTCCCTGGGTTACATCACTGCAGAAGTGGAACAAGCCATTGAGCTAATCTTTATATCTAAAACACACCCACGTGGCAAACTGTTAAAATGGGACCTAGTACTTTGAGTTAAATAGAAGTCCCTTCCTCCAATATTTATTCCTGGAACTCAAAATATTTTGTTAGTTTGTAGCTGTTTCTCTACTCCCCCAGTGCAACCAAGACTGAAAGCCCAAGACCCAACAGCCAAAAAGGACACTTCTTGGCCCAAGTGACAATCAGGAAGCACTGGATTTGTTGTAAGACTAATTGAATTTTCAACTTGGTTTTTTTTTCAGTAGTGAGAGGATCACAGAAGTCAGCTGGGAGTTTGATGGGGACCTGC